CTACTTTTGAACCCAGACAAGACGAAACTAATGATCTTTGGAAGCAGACAAAACATTGCAAAAGTGAATGATGATTTTAATCTGTCCCTTTTCGGGAAAGATCTTGTACCTGCAACAACCGCTAAAGACCTCGGTGTAATTATGGATCCAAACTTAACTTTCGGAAATCATATTCTAGAAACAGTTTCTTCGTGCATGTCACGTTTAGCTCAGATCAATAGAGTTAAGCACTCTTTTGACAAACAGTCCTTAATTTTTATTATAAACTCACTTGTTTTCAGTAAACTATTTTATTGCTCATGCGTTTGGAGTAATACTTCTCAAACAAATTTTAAAATGTTACAGACAGTCCAGAATTTTGCCTGCCGCATAAGAAGCGGAAGAAGGAAATACTGGCTGCCAGTGAAGGAGCATCTTTACTACCGCGATGCCGCAATGTCATTTAAGTGTTTAACTGGATGTGCCCCTGGATATTTATCTACACAATTCATTAGACGATGTGATGTCATAAATCGTAGAACGCGAAGTTCTTAAATGCTTAACATACCTCGCTTTAGAACAGCAAGTGGCCAAAGGACTTTTTTCTATAGAGCAGTTACTTTATGGAATTCCTTATCGAACGATCTTGAACTTTGTGAATCTGTTAATGTGTTTAAACGCCGCCTTAGGTCTCGCCTCTTAAGTAACCTTAGCACTTCCGCTATTTAAACGCTGCCTTAGGTCTCGCCTCTAAAGTAACCTTAGCACTTCCGCTATTTAAACGCCGCCTTAGGTCTCCCCTCTTAAGTAACTTTAGCACTTTCGCTATTTAAACGCCGCCTTAGGTCTCGCCTCTTAAGTAACCTTAGCACTTCCGCTATTTAAACGCCGCCTTAGGTCTCGCCTCTTAAGTAACTTTAGCACTTCCGCTATCTAAGTCGTTGCTCTATTTTAAGTCAGATATATAATTTTTCGCTTATTTGTATAATTAATTTTTACCTTAATTGTATTGCCTCCGAAAATCCTCTTTGGGGAAGTGGTAATAAGGTATGTATGAATGTATGTATGTCAAAACGACGCAATTACAGTGTTAAGAATGTTGACATAACTTGAGACATGGTTTTACCAAGCCGACCGAGGCTTCCTTCGCTTTTTTCACTCCTCCGCTACTATTGCTTTGTTTGCTATTTCGACCCGTTTTACAAACTGAATGTCTAGAACAGGCTACAAAGGCGATAATAAAGGATCGTTTGTCTCATGATTTAGAAGTACAACATGAAAAGAACTAGCCACATGACAGCGGACAGCTGAGATACACGTCATCGAAATGCGTCAATCACTGCTGTAGAAAACTTAACCAATCACAGCGGAGTATAATGCTTCGTGGCAGTATGCAGTGAAAATCCCGCCATAGATATCATATGTAGTCGCATCACGTGACAAGTGATAAACATTCCAACATTAGGAATCAATAATCCCTGTTAATTCGTCACAACATATATTTTATTGACATCGACAGACATTGCCCGATTATCTCGGATACAGAAGGGTTCGATTTAATGCAATTTTTTTCTTTTCCTTAGAACTGAGCCGTCCGTGCAACACCTCATGTCTCTCGGTTACAACTTCTCACCAAATTATGGCTTTGGATTACAATAACAACGCGAGTCATTCACTCATATCTAACTTATCGTCGCCCGCGGCTGTGGACTACCATTATGAGCTGGGTTACATGTTTTGGAGTGATACACGCGAGAGAAACATCAAGCGCTCAAATATGGACGGCACAAACATTACAGTGATCCAAGTGATCGGGGACTGTTACGGGCTTGCCGTGGAGTGGAACTCAATGCAGTTGTATTGGACAGACGTGAGAAATCGCAGCATATCAGTATCAGACCTCGAGGGGAATAACAGACGTGTCTTCAATTGCTCAATCTCAGATTACCCAATAGGAATTGTTCTCGACCCACACGAGGGGTAAATATCTATTAGAGAAAGAAGCCGTAATCTAATAGCAACCCCGTCAAAAATGTTGCTGTATATATATGTTAATGTGGCGTTGAGTGGGGGTAGCAATAAGGCTGCCTGTTATCGCAGGGTTAAAGAGGTGGGACAAAACTGACTATGCGTTTTTGCATCCACACACCCTTTCCTCCCCCAGATAATTAGTTTAAGCTTCAAAATTACAGCTGAATTCGATTAAAATATTTTACCTCGGGGAGGTATGGAGACAACAACAAGCATAGGAACACCTCCCATTTCTTTAACAGTCAAAGAATGCAGGGTAGAAAAAGTACAGTTAAGGCTGGCTCAAGCAGGACCCTTACCACATTTTGACCTCATCTGTGATTTACTGCACCTAACATTGAAAACATTTTGAATTCAAGTTTCAGGGGAATTCTT